CCGACCTTATGCGCACAAACAGTTTTGATATAATCAATCCACTTAACGTGGAGTTAACCTTCTGCTTTTATATTTAGTGATCTTTGTATGCTTGTACTCTTCCTTTACGATAATTAAACAACCCCTGGGGCTAGATACAAACAAGTCTTTTTGTTTTATGTCAGCGATTGAGGAGAATAAACGAAAGTTTACAAGCTCAAGACGTTTTTCTTCTTTCCGAATTGATGAAATGAATAAAGGGGGACCCAATACTTAAAATATAATGGAATCGTCCACAGTGGTGGTCAGCCAGTGTCAATAATCACCGTAAGCGTTTCGAATAACCTGCTGGGGCTGGAGGAGTGTACGCAGCAATCCGCATCAGCCGAGGCTCCGCCGACTGATACCGCCGATGAGCAGAGACGACCGAGACGCAGTCGTGCAACCAACAACGCGCGACCAACCTCGATTGAGAGCCGCGCAGCGACAGCGATCTAGCTTGGATACCCTGCGCCGATTCAGACACCACCGGAGTCACCAGCTTCGTTGTCCAACACCAACACCAGATCGTACGCCCTAGGAACCCACAACCCCAGGCCAGTCCCCAGACCGGCCGTTGCAGGAGACCTGCGACGGGAACGCCCCTCAAGACAGCAATGCTTCCTAGCTGTCAATATGCCGGAGTTCACGGAACCCCTGGCGCAAGCCCGGCTTAACGCGAACATATCCTGGCTTCGAGGAGTCCTGGCCAGATTCTTCGTCCCTGGCGAGGAAACACTGGCCCAGGCGATACGAGTGAAGGCCTCTTTCAGGCTAGGAGCCAAACGGGAGGGCGGCGCCCCTCGTCCACTGAAAGTCATCCTCGGATCGAGGGAGGAAACTAAGTTTGTATTCCAGCACACCTTCCGCCTGAAAGGGGAGTCCGTCAGGCTACTACGCGACCTCGACGCGACCTCGACGCGGACGAACGGCAGAAGCTGAAGCAGGCATTAGCCGAGATCCATAAGCGTCGAGCAAGTGATGAACAAGATCTCTTCATCCGGAATTTTGGGGTCCAGAGGAGGCGCCCACATTTCCGGTGGAGCCCTCTTGCATTACTGAACAGAGAGTCTTTTCCGGCGTAAACTGGAGGGACGTGCCGTCAGCTGCTACCGACAGTCGCAGCCGCGAGTGCATAGTGTCTGCCAATGTACGTAGTGTTTTGAACAAACGAGACGAGTTGGAGGCGTTTGTCATGGAGCACTTCCCGGTGGTCATCGCCCTCACCGAAACCTGGCTCACCCCCGACTTTCTTGACTCTGAGGTCTCGCTCCCGGAATATGCGTCATTCCGTTCGGACCGTGCACAACCAAGGATGGGTGGGGGCGTCATGCTGTTTATCCACGAAAGTGTACCTGTTACTCACCTCCACAGCTACGGGGATGCTGATGGTCAGGGAGAAGCGCTGTGGTGCAAAACCAAACTGTGCTGCAACGGCTACACGACGATAGGAGTCTGCTACAGACCACCAGCGACAGCCCCGGTGGATGTACTGGATGATATGCGTCGATGGGCTGGCGACGGCCACTGTTTGATTTTGGGTGATTTCAATGTACCCCTAATCGATTGGGACGAAAATCGCTGCCTACCGGGAGCGGATCAATTCTCCAGGGATCTCCTCGAAGTCGCGAACCAGTTGACCCTGTCTCAGCTATCCCGCGAGCCCACCAGGATCAACGATTCTGCCTAGTCAGTCCTAGATCTGATGTTATCCCCTCGAACATCGGACGTCGACGTCACTGACCACCTCCCGTCACTCGGTTCTAGCGATCATTCGACCCTTTGGCGCACTGGCGATGTGGAGCTCCGTATCGCTCTCGACCACACTCCGGACCCAATGTCTGGAAAGCGGACTACGATGGCATGAGGATCGCTCCGCAGTCCCTCCCCTGGGTGATTAACTGCCCTCAGGGAGTAGACCCTGCCTAGACTACCTTCCGGGACGGCATTATCTCTCCACCTAAACGCTTCCGGCCACACGCTAGGGCCCCCTGGTTTGATCGCGAGTTACTTGGGATGCTTAAGCGTCGAAACAGCGTGTGGAAAGCGTTTCGCGCTCACGGATCTAACTATGGCCAATACAAGGTGCTGCGTAATGCGTGCTCTGAAATGAAATCCAGAAAACGGCGGGTGTACAAGGAAGCCCTGTCATCCAAAGCGGCTTTTATGCCGAAGCGTTTCTTTACATAACTCCGTCGCGGCACGCGTACCACGGTTGATATACCATCGTTGGAGAATAACGGTGCCCTGGCAGAAAACGATGTTGACAAGGCGGAAGCTTTCGCGCAACACTATGCATCTTTCTACGCCACCGATACATCACCGACCCCCCGACTGTCGTGCCCTGCGCCTCTGCTGTCTTGGCAAACCATCTCGGTAGACGAGGTGTGTGATGCACTTTCGGCTCTGAAACTGTACTAGTCACCGGGTCCGGACAGACTGCATCCCAGCGTGCTGAAGGAGCTGGCGCCGGTCACTGCATCTACCTTAGCCGAACAATCATTGACCGAGGGGAGGTTACCCACCGAGTGGAAAACCGCGATTGTACGCCCTCTCTTCAAAGAAGGAGCCCTTGGGGACCCCGCCAACTACCACCCGGTCAGTCTCACCTGTGTGGCCGTCAAGGTGGTGGAACGTGTACTCGCCAAGCGACTCCGGGAACACCTCCTACCGAATGTTCTTCTGTGTCCAGAGCAGCATGGGTTCCGTCCACAGCGATCTTGCGTCTCGAATCTGCTACTTGCTCAGGAGGAATGGGCGTCTGCCAAGGCNAGGCCGCCGGCCACGAAACGGACGTCATCTTCATTGACTTCAGCAAGACATTTGATAAGGTGACACATAGACGGCTGTCGGAGAGGCTGATGGCTTACGGTATCACAGACCCTCTACTAGCATAGATTGAGGATTTCCTCGTCCGAATGACGTTTAGTGTCAGAGTTGCGCAGACGGAGTCGTGTCGCTATCCTTTCATCAGTGGTTCTGTTCTAGGACCTGTACTGTTCTTCCTGTTTGTGAATGATCTGCCCTCCCGGTTGAGCTCATCTTGGCTCCTCTACGCGGATGACGTAAAACTGTGGTGAGCCATGAAAACATCAGAGGACCATCATGCTCTCCAAGAGGATTTATAC